GGAGAGAGAAGGAGAGAGAGAGAGAGAGAGAGAGAGAGAGAGAGAGAGAGAGAGAGAGAGAGGGAAAATGGGGTCCGCAGAGGAGGACAAGGAGCGGGAGGAAAGTGGAAGCTAACTCGTGAGCGAACGCCGCGACGGCGACGGCGACGGCGGCGGCGGCAGCGATGGGAGGAGGAGCGCGGTGGACGCTCCGCAGTCGGTCCCTCCGAGAGAGGACCGTTCGTGAGAGGAGGTAAAGTACGGAGCGGAACGAGCGGAGGGAAGCGCAACGTCGCGGGCGCAAGCGCATTGGGACTCGGAGCGGCTCGCGGCGTGCGCCACATTGAAAGCTTGCGACATGCTGCTGCGGCGTTCAGTTGCGCGCCAACTCTCAAGTGGGTTTGTTGTTGTCGCATCGAGTTCCCGTACCCTCGAGCTCTCCACGTATAGCGGTCCTTCCGTGTGTATTCCGAGTGCGAGAGGCTACGAGCGAATGTACGGCTGGTGCGTGTAGGCGTTAGTAAACGACGTCAAGAGAGACTACTGAACGAACGCGTGTTGCGACGCGAAGCGGACAACGAGAGTTAAATAGTTGAGACAACGTCGTCAGATGGGACAACGTGTCTTACCGTCGTCCTCGCAATCTCGGAATATATAATCCGGGGAATAACATTAAGTAAGTATTTGGAACAGTGTCAAAAACCGCGACGCGTGCTCTTTCGAGGAAAACGTTTGTTGTCCACGGCGGTGACGGCGTGACGACGATAAATACTCACCGGAAAGTACTCTCCTCATCTCCTACCGGCTCGTCTCGGACGACGTAGTACGCGCTACGACGGCCGAAGGAGAGGGAGATATATAACTAAGTAGAACCGAGACGCGCGCGCGGACACAAGGACGTTTTCTACGTATACGTAGACAAACGGACGCGGACGTACAGGTGGTCGCGCGGTGAAGTCGCGAAAGAGGATTCCCATCTGTGATGTGTGAGTGAGCGATGGAGTCCCCAGTCATGTACGATTCGGCGGCCCATCAGGCCCAGGCCCAGGGTACGGCTGATTTGAAGAAGTCCCAGGTGCTCAACAACAATACCAGCAATCAGAACAATAACGCCGCGGCGAATAACAACAATTCCGCGCTGCAGATCAACCACAATCACAACCATCAGCAACAAAATAGCGCGGTGGTGAAGCAGGTCTCCGGCAGCAAGGCGAGCTTACATCAGCAATACGCCGAGCATTGCGCCGCTGCTGGCGAGCTTACTGATCTCAATGCTCCAGAAATTTCGCTGGATCTTCAGAATTTGATCGATGATAACCAATTCAGCGATAATATACTGGATATGCTCGGTCCCAATAACAACGCTATGAAACACGTCAGGACGGGCGGTTATCCCCGCACGACGCTCGCTTACATGCCGCAACCGGTGCATAGCGGAGCGACCTATCACCAGAGCAGCAATAGCTGCAGCGACAGCAACAGCTCGAGTTCGGAGTCGCCTAGCATCAAGGAAGAACCGTTGGACCCAGCGGACTACAGACGCCACTGCCCTCAGTATCCACCCACCGGTTACAGCCCGGTGACGACGAACAACCCGTTCGCCAATGGTGGCCAGACCTTCACCACCTTGACGCCGTCCACGATACCGGGCGGTCATCCAGGTGCGCCGGTTCATCAGGCGCCACCGCGGGGTGGCCCCATGAAGGGGCCGGTAATGGCCCATCAGCATCACCCTACCGCGAACGTCGCCAGAAAACAAACCAAGGCTATCGACAAGGCAAGTGACGAGTACAGGCGACGGCGGGAGAGAAATAACATCGCCGTGAGGAAGAGCCGCGAGAAGGCGAAGGTACGATCGCGTGAAACCGAGGAGAAGGTCAAGCTGCTGGTGAAAGATAACGATTTGCTGAAGAAACGGATCGAGCTGCTCAACGAGGAGCTCAATGTACTCAGGTCGCTCTTCAGCTCCGTTGGCGTGGTGCCCGAGCAGTTGCACCGCGAGATCTCCAGGCATCTCGATCAGTTTCAGCAGCATGCGGTTGGACCTATGTAGCAGCAGCAGCAGCAACAGTGCACGGACATTGCCACGCAATTCGAGATGACATCGTCTTCCGACGACATCGTCGTTGACTCGCGTCCTTGGGCCATCAGGCTGCTCCGATTGTGAAATGAAGTCAGTCGCATCTTCCGCTTCCTCCTGCTTCTCCCCCACAGTATCGCGCACATCTCCGAAGAGAAATCGTCCCTCGTTCTCCATCCCTCCCTCCCGTTTGCTCATCTATCTTTTTCCTTCTCCTTTCATCTTCTACGTCGTCCTTTATAATCTCACTCGGCTCAGAGTGCTCGATGCGAACACACGTGCATGCGTGCGTGCGTCGTCGTCGTTTGCGTTGAGATCCGCGAAGACGCGAACGTGGAGGAAGAAAGAGGGGGGGGGGGGGATTGGCGAGTCGCGAAGGAGGACGAACGCGAAGAGCAAGCTATTCTATACTTTTGATGACTGAAAAAACCGCGGTCGGCGTGGTTCATGCAAGAACTTCGCATTTTGTTAGAAGTGGCTTTGCTCGCGGGACGTGCATCCCTTCGCTTCAGAGTGCCGTTCGGACACTGAGAAAGCGAAAGGGAGGCGAATACCAATAAATAAAAGAGTAAATCGTGAAGAATCAATCGCGTGAACCGCTATAGCGAGCCGTCGTATTGCGATATCTCTCCAGGCGTAGACGCCTTAGAGTCAACGAAGGACGCGAGAAAGGCAATCCAATTTTCCTTTTTCTCTTTCATCTTCCTTCGTGTTATTTTTCTTCTTAGCGTCTTACTCCTCCTTTATAGAAATTCAATTCAATACTGAAACTTACTTTGTTTTGAGTATTAAAACATTACTCTTAATACTTCCAAATGAGTAGTTAATCTAAATTTCTGTAAGGGCTATCATTCTTCTATTTAACCTGTAACTGTTATATGCTATTTTGGGCTATTTATGGGCTAAATACAAGTAAGACTGAGTGGTCCATCGATTTCGAATCTATTGATGGGCAAAATCATCGTAATACGAAGGCTAGCTCCGACATTTCGAACAAATCGTGTCTTGGTGTGATTCACGCAAGAGAATTCTCACTTTAGTTGTATATTATTATGTTTCGTACTACACATAAACCGAACATACACCTAACACATCTCCAATGCGAAAGACACGTATACACGGCGTTGTATTTAGAGTCGGTTCTTAGTTAATGTTAAATTAATGAACTTAGGCTATCATTCTCTAATTACCAAGTACCTAAAAAAAAAAGTCACATCGAAACACGGTGATTTATGTATCAACGTGGCTCGTATCAACAATAGTGCAACAATGAGACAAGTCGATATCTCCATCTTCTCTCGATACGTATTCGCTTTCGCGCTCGTCATATTTGACGAAGCGCCAAGCAACACAAAACCGAGCACTTTATCCACGCTCTTGTATTATAGTACTAATTAATTTTATTATTATATTCGAAATGTATGTACATAAAAAGCTAATATATTTTGTTAAAAGGAAAAACTGAGAGAAAGAGGGAGAGAGCATCTGAGAGAGAGAGAGAGAGAGAGAGAGAGAGAGAGAGAGAGAGAGAGAGAGAAAGAGAGAGAAACGGCCGGAAAGACTGGGAAGTCGAGAGCGGATTGTATACGTGCGTGCGTGTATGAGCCGTATAACGTTTATACGTATGTATATGTGACATCGCGTGCGCGAATGCGTCGGGAGAGACAAATTGTTGTAATTGCATATTTTATTAGTATCAAGAATGAGACCGATAATCAAGCGAGAGGCGGAAGAGAATCATACATGAATGTTTTATACAAGCATGCATGCAGTCGCATAAAGTGTGGCATCATCTTTACGATGCCAACTCGTACGCATCGTAATGTGTACAACAGTCAACAGCCGGTGTGCACCGTGGGTTCATCATGATCGCACGTATCATACATGAATGCACGCGAATACTTGCGAACGATTTTTAATTATTTACAGGCCAAGACGTGCGACCGCGTGCAATTAGTGTGAATGAGAGAGAGAGAGAGAGAGAGAGAGAGAGAGAGAGAGAGAGAGAGAGAGAGAGAAAGAGAAAAAGTTACGCACGCGTGCCTTGATGTATGACTGACGTATGACTTTAGGGTACGAAATTACCTGTCACGGTTGTCTTCTTGTCTATGCACAAATATATTTTGATATGAAACATATATATAACGCGTCTACCTCTGTTTCTTTTCTTATCTCTACGCGTCGCCTCACCTTCCCCGCATTTCCCCTGTGTCTTCCCTCTGGCTCATCAATTTAATTCCTTATGACGTACTTTAAGCCTTTGACGCATAAAGCTGCTTTTCTACGACTGATAACGTTCTGCGATGTAATCTCGGAATTTAAAGAACTATATGCAGAACTTTTCCATTCTTTCATTATCGACATGTCATGCTTTACTGTTATAAATACATTTACGCTGACACTTTTTTCGACGTACAAATACAAATTTTAGTCATTCATCAGAAAAAAACGTATTATTTATAGTTCAATTACTAGAACGTTATGTCTTTTAATTTTCTGAAGATTCCTCGTGAAATCCAATTAATTGTTTTTCAAAATATATAGGAAAAGAACATTTACACTATTATTATATTAGCACAATTGTCTATATTTATATCTTTTAATTTTCTAAGATTCGGAAATAAAAAAGATATTTATTCAACTTTACGCTGTTTAGAAAAAAATTGTATTATAAATTGACATAAAAATGTGTGAAATTAACTAGCTTACTCAGGTGTCTGAAAGAATAAGATTCAAACCTCAAAAGTATCACTAGATAAGGAAACAGACTCATACTCGTTATCATCATACGATAACGTTCTGACCTGAGATTAACGACGTCATGTACGGTCAAGGCGAGTCCCATTGAAGGGATATTTCCATGACCGTAGCAAAAAATAGTCAGCCATTGATCTGCTGGAAAAATTTATCGACATTCGCACCTTAATACAGAACGCGCGTATGGAAAGCGATCGGAGTAATGGCGCGCGAATCCATCGCGGCGAGTGAGTCACGAGATAAGTTTGTTGTTAGTCAGATTAAATAGATTAGCACCATTGTGACGAGCGTGACGCGCGTTGTAGCGAGCCCCGCGGAACAGGATACGGCGCGTTCCACGCGTGTACGCGCGAGCGCACGTGCCCGCGCTCGAATCACACGCACACAAACGTACGCGACAAGGCACACGAGGAAGCGCAACGTCCGCGTGGCGTAATTGGCGAAACGAGTTTTTCACGTCGAGATGCAAAATCAATGATGTCACGGTGTAATATTTCGTCTGTAACAATTGAGAATTAATTCGAATTTCCCTTTCTCTCACCACTACTATCCCATATTGTGATACGGAAGTAAGAAAATAAGATACGCACAAAAACATCTTGAAAATATATTAGTATCGAAAGATGTTTCGATAAAACAATAAATTACAATCGATAGACCGATTTTAAAATATAGATAAATTAAGAAATATAATTATATGTTTGGTGTGCTTTCTTACTTTTGACATCGTAACCTGAGTAGTGATAGTAGTGGATGAATGATCAGGAGCCTTGATAAAAATGACAGAGAAATTGAATGAACAATGCCTAAATACTTGAAGTAAATTTTTCAAATACTGTTTGATAGATAAATGAATTAACACCTACTCTTCACTTAATCACGATAAAACCACAAAAGTGATAAAGTAAACTTTCATAACATTGAAAGTTTAAAAGAAAAGAATGTCTAGGAAAAAGAAAATTTCTCAGACTTTGTTGTGCTTCAATCGTACACGGTTTCGCGTAAACTTGCATTTGATTTGATGATCCTCGCGGACAATTTATTGTATTTCTACGTGATAGAATGCAGAGATTATCGTACGTATGCATGCGACAACATATTGTCCAACGCAGAATACATATGTAGATGAGTGTACGAAGAATAAAAATGAAATACCGAAACGGAATACTTCTCAAGAATTAGAATTGACATTGATGCAAGAAGACATATACATATATTTTCAGGACGATGCACTGCGGGATCTTAAAACGTCGAACAACTTAAAAATCGGAAATAGCGAATATCAATGCAAAGAAAAATACTTTTCGTAAGAAATACATTATTCGATAATGTCTAGCTGTTCTGCTGATGTCTAACATCAGCAGAAAAGAAGAGACTTTACATAACACACACATGCAAACACGGCAGTAGTATAGTAGAGTATAATATTTTCAGAGATATTTAAAAAGAGATCTCGATTTTTTTTAAACAAAATTTACATTAACACATAAACTATTACATAATTAACTTTGTAGGATTTTTGGATAATTTTTAAATTGATGGCAATGCTGGCAATTAAATAACAGATCATGTAACGCGACTGTAATAAGTAAGTACTACTCCATAATAACATTCCTCTATAAATTATATTAAACACGCATCTAGTGGAATTATTATAATTTTACCTTTGTTTCGCACGCGTAAGAATACTAAATGTATATCTGTATCTAAACACAATTCCAAGTAATCTAATCCCCTTACACCAAACCAATCATAAATTACTTTTTAAATACCACTAACATGCATAGATTTTAGTCACAGGCACGTGTTTGATTAATAAGATTATGAGTTGGATAGATAAATCTTTCAATATCTCTTGTAATAATCTTTTTGTTACAATTATTAAAATAGCTGGCATAACATTAATTTTATGAGGTGTTATTTCAAAGAAAACACTTAATGTGTGCGAAATATAACATTATATCTTTAAAATTTCAAAATATGAAGTGTTCAAATTAAATTACAATAATTATAAAAAACAACAAAAAATTGTCCACATAGATCATTTTTAAATGTAGTTCAGTTTCTTTGCAATGTATCATCGATCCGATATAGCTTTTGAAAAGTATCTCTTGACTATAATATATCTGCATTTTTTAATAACTTCGATGACTTTCTTAAATAAATGCTTCCTTCTAAAAGCTCTGTCAATATACAGTTTAAAGTCCAAAGATGGTGCACGTAGATAAACAATTCACTTTAATCTAGTTTCAACCTAGTTTATACGAAGTTAGCATCCGTAGAATCTAATATGCACACATTTTCCGATATTATAATTGATTTTAGATGAGAATTTAATCTATCAATTGACATTAAGAAACATTTAAAACGCCATCACGATGTAGCACATAAGTGCATTAACTTTAGTCAGCATTTTCTACCATCAATATTCTTCGCTGAGAATACGATTCGTTCTCAATGCATTTTTGCTCCACTTCAAAGGCTTTATTTATGTTTTCAATCTTTTACAAATTTCCATTAATTTAATTTTTCCCTAATAAAAGATTTTATAACATTGCATTATATGCCATGCTTTTATAAATTTTATACGTGTCTGTTACTTCTATCGAACTATACGTTAGCTGTTGTACAATTCATTCAAAATCATGCACATTCCAGAGCACAACGCGATGCAGCTTTTACATATGCTTCATTCTTTGAGCGTGTGATTTAAATTATAATTTAAAATAGAATACTACTCATATATTATACATATATGGCAGATAGCACTGTGTTATATCGTGTATTTATGAATATAATATTAAATGGATCAAATATATGCTTCACCTATAACATTTCCCGATACCAACATTATTTTTATGGTAACGCTTGTTTTGTGGTCACGTTGAATTTCTAAAATA